AAACCTAAAACGTTATACCAAACATAAAACATGACACCAAACCTAAAACATGACACCAAACCTAAAACAGGACACCAAACCTAAAACATAATACCAAACCTTAAACATGACACCAAACCTAAAACATGACACCAAACCTTAAACATAATACTAAGCTTAAGACATGATACCAAACCTAAGACAGGACACTAAACCTAAAACGTTATACCAAACCTAAAACATAACACCAAACCTAAAACGTTATACCAAACCTAAAACATGACACAAATCCTAGCACATGATACCAAACCTAAAACGTTATACCAAACCTAGCACATTACACCAAACCTAAAACATGACACCTAACCTAAAACATTTTACCAAACATTAAACATGAAACAAATTCTAGAACATGATTCCAAGCCTAAAACATTATACCAAACCTACAACATTTTACCAAACCTAAAACATGGTACCAAACCTAAAACATGGCACCTAACCTAAAACTTGACATCAAACCTAAAACATGATTCCAAACCTAAAACATGACACCAAACCTAAAACATGACACCAAACCTAAAACATGACACCTAACCTAAAACATGACACCAAACCTATAACATAATACCAAACCTAAAACATTTTACCAAACCTTAAACATGAAACAAATCCTAGAACATGATTCCAAACCTAAAACGTTATACCAAACCTAAAACATTTTACCAAACCTAAACCTTGACACCAAACCTAAAACATGACACCAAACCTAAAACAGGATACCAAACCTAAAACAGGATACCAAACCTAGCTCATTACACCAAACCTAAAACATGACACCTAACCTAAAACTTGACACCAAATCTAAAACATGATTCCAAACCTAAAACATGACACCAAACCTAAAACAGAATACCAAACCTAAAACAGGATACCAAACCTAGCTCATTACACCAAACCTAAAACATGACACCAAACCTATAACATAATACCAAACCTAAAACATTTTACCAAACCTTAAACATGAAACAAATCCTAGAACATGATGCCAAACCTAAAACGTTATACCAAATCCTAAAACATGATTCCAAGCCTAAAACATTATACCAAACCTAAACCTTGACACCAAACCTAAAACGTTATACCAACATGACACCAAACCTAAAACATGACACCAAACCTAAAACAGGATACCAAACCAAGAATATGAAATTTCAAATTCCCAGCAAGTGAAGAGAACGGATTTCTGACTTACGTAATATACTATTATCATGAAAGACAAGAAAATATAGATCCTCTCGGCCATTTTAACAGTCGGATTGATAATTGAATCAGCTTACCAGATCCTGAGAAACTAACATTAATAAACTACCCAGTAAAATTGTTACATGTCCTTTCTCTGCTGCTACGTTTCCTTGCATGTTTGCCATCGCTGTTTCTGGTTAGTTCTAAATTTCATTTTACAACTTACAAGTGTATGTACTGAAACGGAGACATTTTTCCTTAAAAACTGAACGTAATGGTAAAGGAACCACAGTATAAAAAATGCATTTTATCATAAAATGTAATGTGTATGTATGTTATAGACCACTTCACAAATATTTGCTTTTATTCATAAAGGTGAATAAAAATAGATAAGGCTTCTAAGAAACAATTACGTTAGATATATTGGAATACTAACTTAGCTATACAATCCTACAGGATCGTACGTAGACACATAAATCAATAACACCAGTTAGTTGCACATCTAGAATTACAATATAATATCTTCAAGGTCTTGTCAATAATGATGATAGCCTAGAATCTAGAATGTCAGTAAAAAATCAATTTGGCCATTATACATGTGTAGTCGATATAGATGGGCAAAGTATTAGACCCAGTCTTATATAATCCTTAAAATATTCGAAAGATTTCACAGAATTAAGTTGTAATTTTAGGAACAAAGTATATTAAATAGATTAAAACATGACCACAGCCAATATCAGGATTGCAACTTAAAGCAGAGATCATATAGATTTGCTTATTTTTATAAAACTCCGCGTGGTTATAGAGATATAATACGGGGCAAGTACAATAATTCCGAGTCACAGTCCCACGCCTTTGGCCCTGGTAATTTGGTTTATATACATTTCAAATGAACGTAAAGATATAAAGGGAGATGTTTAATGAAACATCTATAAACACAAGTAGTTATTAACTCGTAATTATAATTAACAAAATATCTTTTACATTATTGTCAGCTTACCATTGATTCCTAACAACACGAAGTAAACTCACATACTCGTGTGATACAAATGTACAATTGATTTTTCAGGGTCAGTGTTTGCTAGCATTGTTTTAAGTAAAACAAATAAAATTTACAATTTGGGAACATCAGGCGATTAAAGCTAAACTGCTTTAACATCTGACTCTTTATGCGTTTTAATATATTCCAGGCTACACCAAAAATATTTTTTTTATAGTTGCTTCGGGTTTTGGCATAAATCTCTAAGCTGATTACACAATCCTTCTATGAAATAACCTAATTTGAGTAGGAAGTATTTCCAATTACCAATGTAGGTCATGCACTTTATGCTGCTCTGCACGTGAGGACGTTACCCCCGTGAAATGGGTATCTACTTGACGAAAAATTACGATAGGTAGCACAGTTTCGAAGGTGGAGGTATTCCTATCAGCGAAATTATGACGGTCTACTGTGGCCCACCTTCGGCTCTTAAGCATTCCTGACAACATCAAGCGATCAGCAACAAAAATCATCCCAACAGGGGTCATTTCAACGATTTGCAAAAAGCCAGGTGGGCCTAATGTTTATAATTTGAAAGCTCATACGCCAAATCATTCCTACAGAAAAAATAAAGATATGTAGCACTGTAGCGCCATGTAGATTACTGTGATAAAATCTCACTCCGTTGTGAAAGATGACTATTTCTGGCTTTTACTGTAGCAGTGTCAAAGAGTTTCTTCATATCATCTCAGAACGCTGTGGCATTTGTTGGAGTCACTAACTCGTTCTCAAACTCATAAAGATCCCATGACCACGATAACGCTTTAATCACAGTTTCATTGAATATCATATTTTCTTATCCTAGGCAAGGTTGTAAATCATAAATAAAATGTAAGACAATGATAGCCTCCAACGTGAAACGGAGAGCCTCATTCAGTCCACCAAGGTGGTTTTCTATTTCCTGAAAAATCATTGTAAATCATTAAAGTCGTTTGAAGCATATCAGCACATTCCAAGTAATCATGATGCCTCGAAACATTTTGACACCTGAAGCAAATCTAGGAATATAAAGTCACCTTTAGTCATCTAACTGATTTGAACAAACTGTATGACGCATGTTAAGGAAGCTTGTGTTCCACTTCTAATTTTACATCCAACATGGACGAAAATAATGCCCAGTAGATTATTTTGTTGGAAACGTGAAGGGATTTCTTCAAATATTGTAAGATAAATGATATCCAGCTTAACGAATAGTATCGATCTATGTTAGAGATGTTACAACAAACAACATAATTTATGATTATATGTTGTAATAGAGATGGACATTGTCCATATTTCTAACTTTTATTCTGACCTGGAATGTTCAGGTGCTGTATAGTGTTTCTAGTAAATGAAACCTCGAATCACATTTGTCTTGTAATTAATTACTACATAACCAAATGAAGCAATTTTCAAGAAATGTAAAATGTCTCGAATTTTATTTACCTTTTTAACCAAAACAAAAAGAAAAAAAAAGGTGTTTCTGGAATGTATAGCTTGTAGTACTGTTTGTGATTTTTATTACCAATCGCCATGTAAAGTAAATTTTCAAGCCTGTGCGTTTAATGTTTTATTAGACAAGAGATACACAGAGATAAAAAAAATACCCATTACGATCTTTAATTAGACAAACGCGGATAAAGTAGTACAGAATATGGAACTAAAGTAGGCCAACGTCCTATTGTATTTCTTTTTTTCCGACACATAAAAATTGTTATGTGATTCGAGTGAATACATATGACATAAAACATTAAAAATGTTTCATTTCTATTTTCTTTCTAACATGTGGGAACATGGAAACAAGCATGGGAAACATTAAGAGCGGTTTAGCAATGCTTTGTCCCCATTAAAGATAATTCAATGACAACAATAAGAAGATATATGGTGAAAATAATGATGATATGACAATAAATTCATAACGAAATCAGAATAACATGCGGAGCGCTGATATGTTTCCATTATCTGCTAAATTCAATCCATATGACACCTGTTTTCAGGAGCACATGGATGGTTTTATTATGAACATCAGAAAACAACAAGATATTACTTATATGTCACAGAATCAAAATCCACCAGTAATATATAACAATGTGTGTAAAATAATCCGTTTCACTATTTCATGATATGGTGTGTGCTAATAAATTCCACGATAAAAAGATTTAACATAAAAGTATTTCTGCCTTGCGGCGAATTAGTCACTTTCTTTTGTGCCAAGCTTTCTTTTGACATTTTCATATGAAAAATATTAATGGGTGTAGATTTTTTAACTCCCATAACTGCAATATAATTAATATTACACAAATGAATCCAAACACAGAATTAGATGGAGTTTATGGCTGAAATTGAGTACATTTTATGATCAAAAAGTCATCGTCGTAAAACTTAATATTTTCTGGAAGCAATTACAAGTGTTTACACAGTTTAAGGATGCACTTAAAATTTCTGCAGTGGAAAGCAGTTTGTTAAAAAACGTAAGAATATCATCTTTGAAGAGAGATTTGTTCAAAAGCATAGCAAGGCAAAACCAATGTCCTCCCAGGCAGGATCTTACCATTGTGTATTTTTTACCACGGTAAGCTAGTTGATAATTGAAGGAATTATTGTAACAATTACCGCATCTTAACACCAATTAATGCACATTTTACATACAGTTGTTTATTAATCCTAACTTGTGTTTGTCGGTGTATTTTTGTTGTGCGTCCTGAGTATAATTTCCTTAAAAAAATTCTAGTAATATTTATAAGACTGCTTTTCTTTTCAGAATTCTAAAATGGGAATGGCATTTCTACCTGCACTTAAGGAAATGGAATACCTTTTGGAGTTTCAAATGTGTATACATCTTGCCTTGGATTATATTTGTGTTCTTTTCATGGAGAATGTGTTTTGTTACGGATAACGGTCAAAGAAGGATAACTCTAAACTAGAAACATGACTTCATCACTCACTGAGGCACCACGGGAACTTCCAGGAGGTAAGATCACACAGTAGACAGAGTTTAAAAATTCCGTTATTATATTCATTTGATGATATTTAGGTAAACATTAGGTTGAGGAATAAAAACATGTATTTATGATTACATTTCGGTTCATATTTTGATAATGTATCTTTACGAATAAGGTAGGAAATGATACATTTACATATTACGTCATTAAGGGGCCCGATATTCAATGTATGTAATATATATATATATCAGAACAATGTTTGAGTTGTTGCTCTATTTTTAATTTAGTATGGGTTTTCATTCAAACATCGCGATTTCTATCGTTAAGTTATAGTTATAAGCTATAGTTGCGTTTATATATTGTTGTTCAGTCGGAATACCAAATTATATCTTAGTTGACGATTGACTGACCAAAATAGGCATGGTGATGTTTGACAAGGAGAGCTCGTCTGATATATCAATGTCACAAAAACAGCTTCATGATTTATGTAAGCATATAAGTGTCGTATTTAATGCCGGACACACTGCAGAACATCGACATGAACTATGTGCAATATTACGTAATATTTTGTTATAAATGTTTGCGTGTTTAAATTTGTATTATTGATGTCTAAACTCGTCTACTTGTATCATTTTAATACTTCTACTACACTCTACAACTTGAAAACAATATGTATATATGTATATATATATATATGTGTGTGTGTGTGTGTGTGTGTGTGTGTGTGTGTGTGTGTGTGTGTGTGTGTGTGTGTGTGTGTGTGTGTGTGTGTGTGTGTGTGTGTGTGTGTGTGAGGTTTCATGATTTGAACATTGAGTTTATATAATTCTGGTGAAACATAAATTCAAAACACGAAATAGAATACATAGGTAAAACAACAGTTCATTAAGATATTTGAAATTATAAGTAAAATCACGTGGTACAAAGTTGATAGGAAATGCTTTATGTAATATAAAACATACAAAAATGTACAATACTTTAAAACAAGAACTTAATTTCACGGGTTCAATTTCGTGATTATACCATAAATTGTCTGTAACTAAATTAAATTGCTTCATTGAACGATAAATAAAATAGAGAGATAATTAATTGAATAAAAACGACCGTAGTGAAACATTGGTACAATAAAATACTGACAACTTTTACAAATAACGATAACCTTCAAAGAAAAAAAATTACAAGAATGCCAATTTAATATGATAGCATCCGAAAAGAGTTATATAATTATTAAGAATTAGTGGATATATGTACTGTAATACAGTCAAATAAACCTTCCTTTTAAGTTTTATTATATAATCAACAACATCGCGTACAGTATTTCTTTGACGTTTTACTTATGGTATCAGTTAAATAGAGAGTAATTCCGAAACCTTAAATCATTATATTAAATTAAGGAAAATAGAATTCAGGCAATTTCAAAAGACAATATATAAATTTTGCATCCGCACCTCACTCTTTACTAGATGGTGCACACTTGATGATAGTTCTTAATAACTGTTTATCTGTAAAGCTGCATTAAATTACTGGGGTTCGGTAACATTTAGAACATAAAAATGATGCAGATTGGGCTCGGGATTAAAAATAAGCATAACAAAATATCATGGATACATAAAATGAATTCTTTTTTCGTAGAATATAGAACAGCTGTAAATAGAGGTTATATAAAAATAAGGTCATTTGACTGAAGGTCGTCCGGTAAACATCTGAAAATTTTATTTCAAACAGTTTAGAAATAACAATCTAATATATAAAATGCTTCATAAGGTAATTTTGCGTCAAAAAAACCTATGCGGTTATTTATTGCATATTTCACGTTTGAAAGTAAAACTAGATTAATGTATATGTCACAGATAAAGGGGAAAATATATATACGACAGAGATCAATATAAATGTACAATACCAAAGTATTAAGAATCTCATTCTTTCCTTCAAATAATTGTCAGACAAATTGTTTAGATCAAATTCAACTCATATGTCACCGTGTGTGTACAATGTATCTGATAGAACGTTCTTCCTCAACGTCATAATAAAAACAAAACTTCCAATACTTGAAAGTAACGCTAAATTCAATCTTGAAATTTATCATTTAAAATAACAACGTTCTTTTTCTGACATCGGGCCTTAATCTTGATGTCTCGGGCGGGTTTGAATTCTCAAAATTAATGTCCAATGTTAGATATACCGATGACATCTCCACAATATAAAAATGAAATAAAGTAAAAATTAAAAAAGAAATAATAATAATAAATAAATAAACAAAATTTTATTAATTAATTTTAATAACATTTTCATATTTTTCGCCGGCATTACACATTCATTTTGAATACTATAACATGTAATTTAGCTATATTCTCACATTGCTTTGAGTCACCTAGTATATCCTAATGCCTACCGATGTTTTTTGTAATAAAGCCCACTTCTCATGAAGTACAGGGTTAGAATTTGATTCAGTAGAGCAAAATAATGAGTAAAGCTACATCATTCCGCCGGTTCCTTGAGTATATTGAAATTTAAAACCGTGGTATGTCAAGAATATTTTATTATTTTTAGTATTTGTCATGCGGATGCCAGAAAATGAACTATCTTGTGGTATTTACACCTGAATGATGAAAACGGTGTAACTGATGAGTTGTCATACGACATCAACTGTTACAATGATTAATCATAACGTGAAATTGCTTAGAATAGTTTCTGTCCAACGGATTGTACTAAACACACGCAGTGTTAACATAAGATATTTACCTTTTACACATACCAATATATATCTGATAGTAGTTAACAATTATGAAATACACAGATATAAATAATAAGAAAAAAATAATCGTTTATGAAATTTAATAGAAACAAACATTTGTAACAAACAACGGGTATTGAAATCAATGTTTGTGTTGTTTGTTATTTACTTGTTATAATCTTACACAAATGTAGTCAAATGCATGTAATAACACTATAATAACACAGATTCCCAGACACGTGAACAGATAAAAAAGTATGAGAGTGGACATTTACAGGAACTTCGTAAATGTATATATTGTATATATATCGAAATCAAGAACAACAATTTCAAAATAAACCAATATACATATATAGAAGGTAAATGATTTTAATATGAAAGATACTCTAACTCTCACTCGTGATAGAACAAAAAAGGAAAAGAAGATGTAGACGAATAAATTACTCAGCTTTCTAATACATTAAGACTAATGTTTACTATCGCCAGTAGATAGATATATAAGTGTAGATTGCTAATAGGTGTCATTATACCATATAAGTGTTAGTGTATATGTAGACAACATTAACCATACACCTTACACATCGCCTGTGTAGTTACTGGTCACTGTAACGTCTGTATGATCCAGTTTAATGTCGCCAGCTTTCCCGAAGGCTAATAACAGGATCACGATAGCTTCATTGATTATGCATGACCTTGATTAGTGATACCGTCTAAGTATCAATTCCCTAGTCAGTCGATCGGTCCAAATAAAAGATACACATCCTAGATGCATATTGAATAACAAAATTAGTGTTAAAATGTAAATGGAGAAGCTGGTTGATTAAGATATTAATAATCACGAACAAGTAAATAATCGATACAGTGATATACACTTGTATTTTTACAGCTAACTTGTCAATAAAAACGGAAATCATATTGTTTATATGATTGCTTATCTAAAGTAGGTCAACCAGGAAATGTACCTTCTAAATTAACTATTTCAACCATTTATCGATTTTAATGAAGACAGTAATGAGTTTCGTTGAGTGAGTCAACTTCCGTTAAAACACAAAAAATACTTCGATATTCCAAACGTCTGAAGTGTAAATAATTTCATTGATCTATGTGTTTAGTAATTGATTAAGTTGATTATTGGGGACAGTTTTGTGCACTTTTACTGTAATAGGGTTTGTCGATGTTTTAATTTAAATATTTCATCAACGACCTACACCATGATCTGCAACAATCATTAACGCTGTTTCAATTCTAATGAGTAAGATCTAGGTTATGTTTCATTGCAAAAACAAATTAAGTATAAATCATGCATTTTATTGCGTAATTTATTATTATTATCTTCTGTTAAAAGTACATTTTCTTATGTACATTGATTAAATGATGATGAAATTACAAAATGGAACGCCTTGTGATAAAAATTGAAACCTTGAGAACCGTGGCATGTGTTTACTACTTGTCTAATCCTTTCGTAGTTCTCTAATTCAGGAGTTATCTCCCGTTGGTCTGTAAATTCCTGAAAGAAGATAACATTTGACAGATTATCTAATCAGCCTTAAGTTAATGATGCGTTTTCTTATTGATTACGGTAAGGATAATTAAATAATTATCATATATCATTTTAGTGTATGTCGCAAAATTTATAGGAGGTTATCATCACACAAAAAATGCAAATATTTATGATTTTTTTTTTCATTTTACGCTGACGTTTAGAATGCCATTTCATTTAAAAAATTACAGAAAAGCTACTTTATTTTTAGTCGCGCAAATCTGTTTTCAATAATATCACATTTTTGTAAACCTTGTTGATGTTCATTATTGCCATGGAACCATAAGTTTGACACACATTTTTACGAATTCCACTAAATGCAAAAGTTCATCTTTTTCATATATAGAACACCTATCTTAATGTTTACTAATGATAGTGTCTAAGCGACTACTACAGCTCTGGTATATCGGCATTAACATTTCTCCTGTAAGTACTTCAAAATTTGTGCAGATGTGATGGGAGAACCACACACATTAGTAAAGGCAAAGCGAAACATATATATTTTCTGAAACGTTTAACACTCCTTCTCAAATAACAGAAACACCACTTCCAACGGACCAAACATCGAACTGTAGTAAAACTCTTAACAATTTAATGGTCTTCACAGGCAAGTACGGTCGTAAATGTATCATCAAAATACTGGGGTTATTGTCACTGGTCTCAGATGGAGTTTGACTTTGCTTAAACACTTCAGTTTTCATGTCTCCTCTCGTTGGAGCCTTTCTATCAATACATATTATTTCGGCAACATCAAA